TTCTAGTAAGTGTTTCATTATGTTTCCAGCTTCTGTTACAAGTATTCCTCCTGCCCTCCTTTAGCTTTTCCCTGTCCTAAATGGGTAAGAAGTTCAAGAAGAGTGTGTAATATAATTTTTTATTAGGACTCTATATGGGTAAAAAGAAGCCATCACTTTTACATTGATTTCAGCTATAAGATGTTCCCTTGGGTGTGTACACATGCAGTCCAAAGTAATTTGCCTAAATTAAAACTGGCTACTTTATTTTGTAATTGTAAGTAGTGGAAATGCTTCTATAGTTTCATGTTATTTGTCCTTTGCTTTGCAAAGCTTCTTGCTGAGGCTGAAGATATACTGAAAGTAATTTATTACCTTACTTTGCTTTTTTTCCATAGGCTATATTGCTATTTTTTAGTGCCTGTGGTGCAAGAAATTTTATAATTTACGAAAGTGTTTGAATATGGTCTTCCTGAACTGTTAATTTAGAATTGACTTCCTGACAGGGAATTCTTACCTTTGGCAATTGAACCTCCAGTGATTTCTGTCTAGTTTGTGTCATATGTTCATGACGTGCTTTGGGTTGGGTCTTTTGTTTGTTTGGTTTTTTGGGTTTTGTTTTGTTTTGAATTATCAATTATTAATTTTTTTGTAGTATTGCTTGTTTTGTGGGGGGAAATCTTTAGTTTTTTCTAAAAGCTTAATCTGAGGCAAGGAAGTATTATTGGTAGAAATTAACATCAATGAGCAAACTAAAAAGAGAAAATTACCTAGTTTTAAGTAAAGCTTATTACTGATGATCTGAGAGTTTAGGAAAAAAATTCAGAAATATTATTTATTTCTAACTGGATGCACTCAAATATTTGTGCACTTCTATGAGTTTTCATTAGGGAAATAGAAATATTTTCCATATTACTTGGAGCAAAAATGGGTTATTTTTGGTTCTTTTTCTGTGTTTTCTTGAAATGCATGGAATACGGAGAAAATATTTTTGTTCTGTACTAGATTCTTTATATGGGGAATTGCAAAATAATAAGTGCGTTGAATGTACTCTGTTTTACAGTGTTTTCTCAGACCATGGGCAGCACTCTGGGAAAAAACTGACATAAGAAAACCATGTAGCCAGGTTTCTCATTATACGTGTGAAAGAGCTGTTGTAAAGTATGATATAATTTCTTTGCATAAAACTATGTGTTTAGGATATCTTGAGATATGCCTGTGGACAGAAGAGTTTATTATTTCATGCCATCACAGCAATGCTAAATCTAGTATAGAAATCCTGATAGAAATAAATAAATAAATCTGATTAATCAGACCATAACTGTAAGTGTATCAGGATTTCAGTCAATTTTGTACAGATAATAATATAAAAAACCCCACCAAAGTTAGCAACTAGTTTTCATTGTACTGTACTGGCCTTGTGGCCTCTATAAATTCAGTTAATGTCAGGCTGAATTTGTTGTTTTCAAGACTTGAAGTGCTATTCCCTTTTAGGTGAAAATACCTGTTTTGCTAAAGATTACAGTCTGATAGTCTGGCTTGGTTTGTTGGCTGTGAGTTTGTATCCTGATACCGCTCCTGGTGGTCAGGTTCTAAACTGAAGGGTGTGCTACCTTCAGTGGTGCCTCATGGTATTTTCAAGTCAGATTGGATGTGATGCACTTACATTAAGTGCTTTAAATTTTTGAGTTTAGCTTAGGCATTCTTTTAAGAGCTGGAGAAGACTCAGGTGCATAAGATGACACGAAAGACTTTTAATTAAGTGCAAAATTCCATGTTACAAGTTCTGAAAGAGGACTACTCAAGCTAGAAATGCTTAGTAGAACTTTGTTTTAGATGCACCAAGTAGTTTATCTGTATTTTTCTGCTTGAATGCAAAACTTCAATTAAAGTTTGCAAATAAATGATACCAGAACTACCTCATCAGATAGCAGGAGCAGAAAGCCACAGTTGGCACATGGCAGGTTGTTGCTGTGCTGATTAATATGCATGCAAGAGGAGAAGAAATGAAGAGTGCTGTCATCAGCTGAAACTACAGGGAAGTTTTCTTCAGTAGGGAACTGATGAAACAAATAGTGGTTTAACATATTTACTGTTAACCTAATAGACCAGAGACTCTGTTTTATGTGAGCCACTCATTGACTGAAAAAAATAATTTCAAAGCAATAGACATGATCTGTGAATAATTATGGCCTACAAAAACAACGGTAAAACAAACAAACAAGCAAAAACAGAGAAAAAACCAAATCCCGAACAGTTAAATTTAGCATATCCACAGTGAACCATTTTTGCTCGAGGGGAGGTTCACAAGAGGAGGAAAAAAGCAGTGATAATGATAGTACTATTACTTCTGAGAAACTTCTCATGATTTCTAATAACCAAAAGACACAGGAAATCAAGGTCTGATAAGGTGGGAGACTACTCTGTTATGCCTTTGCTCTTTGGTCTGTTTGAGCTTCATGCCCTACTTATGACTAATTGCTTGTGGTTGTTTTAATCACAGTATCAGAAATGTTTCAGTATTGGTAGACAAATGTACCATGTGCTCACAATTTAAAAGATTATTTTTACAAAGTAGACCACGCCAGTTTTTGTGATTCATTTGGAAGCTTACCAATGTCACTTTTTCATATAAACCCATCTTAATTATGAGATCATTTAGATATGCATTTGGAAGCTGTTGTCTGTATTTTCCAAATTTGTAGCTCTTACAAGACTGAAGACTGTTGATATCCAATTGAGTGACAGAGGCTTGTATTTTTTTTTTTTCACTTGAGGGAATTTTTTATCTCTATAAATAAAACTGCTCAGGCATCTTTATGTAAATGGATGCAATTTACTCAGATTCTATTCTTAACCATTATGAAGCAAAGGGAGACTGGGATGCAGTGTTTATTTCTATCTGCTCTGTGAATGTTTCATGGGAAAACATTTGGGAACAGGCAGAGGTGATAAGGTTATGTGTAAGGATTTTTCACAAATTGATCAAGTACCACCCACAGAGTTTTGGCTATTTTGCTTGACAGAAAACAAAGATGAGCAATTATGACTTGCTGTTTGTGACATCATTTATAAGCTAAATTTAATTTTCTGCTGAACATCCGCTGGTAATGTCATGGTAATGACTTCCTATTGATTTATTAAATCTGTTCCTTCTCCTTATTTGTAACTTGCATGAAGTTGCCCAAATGTGATTTCATGTTATTACTAACGGGCTGTGAATGGAAACACTGTGCACATTTTAATTTTCTTCTTCGCTTTGCTCAGAAGTAACAGTTTAAAATTGATTGCCTTATAAAAATTTATTCTCTCAAAATAAGCTATAGCTCTGATGTCTCTCAGAATAGTTTATTTTTTTTGGATTATGAGACTTTTTACTACATTGCTGGCAACATATAGAATTGTTGTTTATAAATTGTATTCAGAGTATTTAAAGTACTTTAGAAAGGGGGTATTTGAAGGAAAGGCAAAATCTAGTTCTTGAAACACTTCATGTGAATAGGCTGTGGGTAGAAAAAACTTTCTATAAATAGAACTTTTTAAAAATAAAAATATTATGCTGAATGAAAGTGTTGGACGTGAACTGATTGGTATCCAAAAGTAAAGGAAATCTGTTTGGACACAAGTTAGATAAGTTGAAAATTTGAAGTGGTCTCATTTCATTTCCCTCTTACAAATTTTGAAAGTTTAGAATTCGGTTCATTATTTGCTTGTCTGTGTTTGGTACTTTGAGTTTTGATAAACATCAAGGTCTTTGCCTTACTTCTGTAAGTATTTTCATGTTGCATACTGCTCATAAGTCTTTGAGAATGTAACAGAAGAATCTCAAGAAGACTTTTACAAGAAGACTTTTCTACCACTCTGACTTGCAATGTTAGTGGCAGTTTACCAAGATACAAAGCATTCTTTCACAGCCTATTTGTCCAATACATTGAATTTTTGATCAATTTAACTGTAAGAAAAAAGTGTTTGGTGAGATTTTTACTAGCTTAGCATTTACTCTGTTTACTGAATTGACAGTTTTCCTCCTTGTCAAAGTGATGGTTGCAGTTTGGATCTGTTGAGGGAAGCCCAAAGTGATGAGGGAAGAAGCATTTAAAAGATTTATTTTGTAAATGTGGATATTTGTAATATAATTAGAAATAAATATTAACTACCTCAATTTACTTCAGTGTAAAAATAAACTAAAATTATCTGAAGGTAGAAGAAGTTTTCGAAGAAGTCTCAGAAAGTCATTAATAAATCAAGTAAAGTTGTTGTGAGGGAGCTTCTAATGAATTAGTGATGATTTAATCTTTTATGACTCAAAAATGCCGTTAAGAACTTCAAGGCACAGACAAAACCAAAGTGATTGGAAAGTTCATGCTCTGTCACCCTGGAGAAATGTTTATACATCAGAGTTATTTCTCTCAACTTTACATCGTGTAGGTCTTTTCTGTTGTTTCCTTCTCCCATTTTCTGAAGGAATCAGTTTCTCAACAAGTAATGTCACTGAATAAACAACTAAAAACTACCTTTTATGCTGAAGTAAGAGGTTAATTCATACTAAACAAAGGTTTCATACCATGAAGTTGGAAGGAACCCTTGTGATCTTCTAATCACATACGAATTTTTCATCCATATGACTGCTCTGAGTGAATTCCTTTGTCAACCTGAGCTATCTTTTTGAAGAAGACACCCCTCAGCAATTATATTAATTTGAGCTTTAATTCAAGCTCTAGTGGTATAGCATGTAGTTCCTCAATCATATGTACCTGAAATATGTACCTGCTGAAATTACCCTTATTGCCTCATCCATCGCAGCTGGAATTCTCTCTTAGGTCAGAGCAAATTGAAGTGTTATGAATTGGACCTCGTGCAAAAAGCAAATCTGAAGGCCCTTGTGTGTGTGCATATATGTGTAAATAGATGTTTGGGTTTTTTTAATTAAAAGCCAGACTTTTCTACCTATCTTATTGGATGATTCTACTTAAATGAGGATAAAGCCAGCTGAATCTTCAAATGGTGTTTCTGTATTAAAGGGTGATGGCAAAACTGAAGCGCTGCACCGGCCCCCTGCTTCAGTCTTGGCAAGAAGTTCAAAAAGGAAATCAGAGAATGAGAGCAGATCAGCTGTGCATAACGAAGACAAGCAAACAGGCATCTCCCCCTCCCTGGACAGTGCTTTGGAGCACATTGTGGGACAGCTGGATGTGTTAACTCTAGTAAGTATGCAACAATGGATAACACTTGCAGTGGAAAATGACAACACTGTCAATGGGCAAAAAGCCCCAGGAACTATGTTAATAAATCAGAACAGTAAAGACTGTGAGGTTATTTTGAACAGTTGTATAGTCAAGTGACTGTTTTGGTGTTTTCCTTTCAGCAAATATTGATCGCATGTATTGTGTTTGCTAAAGTGAAAGCTTCCTGATACAGAATCATAAAGATTGTTGCACTTTTAACTCTGGAGGGACAGAATCACTATTTTTCAGTAGTGAAATCTAGCACAGATTTGTCAGAAGCCAGTTGTTTAGCAGACATTCTCGGATTCCAACCTGAACAATCATGTACTAGGAGGGGATGAACAAAGTAAATTACCAGTGTACCATTAAATCCCTTTTCAAATGCAGTGCTCAAGGTGTTGGCTTAGGTAGGAATCTAAACAGTGGAATAATTCCTAGTGTCAGTGAAACTGCACAAATACTAGTCTCAGTGACTCTGAGTCACTTGTTTGCAAATGCTCAATACTTTTTAGTAATGACAGATTTAGTCAGCCCATGTTTTAAGATACTACTCTGTAGTCTGTAATATATTAACATTAAGCCAACTAAAAAGGGAGCAGCTAAGAGTTTTTTTTTTGTTCTGTGTTCTTTTGCAGTACATATGTTAATTGAAAAAATAGGTTTTTGGAAGTATGGAGTCAAGTCATCAGTTGAAAATGATTTGTGTGCTAAATTGGATTAAAAAGAAACTACCAGCCTGCGTCCAAAAAACTACCTTTTCTGATGAAGATAGTCTCTTAGAGAATGCCTTTTAATAGTATATTTTTTTCTCACTTCCTTTTTTTGGGGATGCCTTAAAAGTTTCTTTTAGGTTTTTGGAAAAAATCATTTGAGGTCATCAGTGATGACTGTTTTTCTACTGAAATATGGATGCAACTTTTACATAGTATTTCAGAATAATTTATATTATGCATGTATGTATTTCTCTCTCTCAGAGAAAATATTTTGTGAAAACAATTAGAAACCTTTAGACAATCTCCATGGATACCACGCCATAATTTTTAAATACAGTTATAAATAGTGGAATAGCTAAGGAGAAACCATTTTATGACTTTTTTTCCCTACTGAGTTAAAGTTACTTTTCTTATGTTATTATGTTGCACACTTTTATAATACTGTGTGAGTAATAGAAAACCAGTTGAAATTACTGTCCTCTTTATGCAGACAGTTTCAGTCTTGGAACACCGTCTGACTTCAGCTGAAGATAAATTGAAAGAATGCTTAGAAGATCAGCAAGTATTACTTCAGGGAAGACAGGACAAATAAAAGCTGAAAGTTAACTATATTGGTGAATATGTTTCTGCATTGGATTTTACTATAAGCAAAAGCATCAAATCAATGTAATAAAAACTGAAGAAATTAAAAAAAGAAAATTTTTAAACAGTCGTGGCAAGCAGATATTCTGCTTATATATTTAATGGAGTGTAGCACAATCAAAATGTAATATTTTCTAAAATCATTTCCATTGACTGTTACAGGACTCTTATTTCAACCTAACAAGATCTTTGAATATAACTAAGCCACTAACTACATATTTTTAGATGAATAGCAGTTGTTATGGAAGTCCACTATGCAGGTTTTTAAACTTGGGCAAGGGTTGTGAAAATAATGTTCTTTGTGCTAAGGCAACATTACTCAAGCACCTAAATTAAATAAGACCTAACTCAAAAAATGCCAGAGGTTTTCTTTGTCCCGTTACATACTCTCAAGTATTTTACAAAAAAATAGCGAGTTATTCTATATCTTCTAAACATTTTAGTAATGATTGCAAGAAGAGGTAGTATGAAAACTTCTAGTCACAAATATGAAAATTCAGTCACCTAAACTCTGAAGCATCTGTGTGAATTCAGCTGCAAAACTGATGCATTCTACTTATCTCATTCCCATCAAAAGTAATTTTTCATATTTAGAAAAATCAAAATCAACTTCATACTTCTGAAGAATCTATTTGAATCATACACAAAATCATAAAAAATCTAGGTCATAACTACAATAGATTCTTGCCCTACAAGAAAGTCCACATATGCTCAAGCTTTGCATGCTATGAGTGTCCCCCATCAGGTAATGCATTATGAACGCAGATAGAAGTCAGGAAAGACTTCTCAGTGTATGTTGATTTGGGTTTTATTTTTAATAAACATGCAAATCTTAGATGATTCTAGGTTTATTTTTTTAATGGAAAACATTTAATTTTCTTATGTCTATGTATTATTTTTTTAAATGGCAATTGCAGAACACGTGTTGTAAATCCGTAGTCAAAACTAGGTAGTCATCCAATTTCTGCACCTTCACATGTATGTTGAAAAATGGGACAGTTTAAATGGGGGGAATATTTTAATCCAATTCTGCAACTGACTGTATATAGATAAAGCTCATTTCCCAGGCTGAACCTCATTAACATCAATGGAGTTCAGCTTAGGTACAGAAGTTCCCTGTGCAAATACTATTGCAGTTCACACCACAGAAATGTGCAGTCAATTTTTCTTGTATAACTTTTCATTTTTTTTCTTAGTAACCACCTTCAGATAACCAGACATCACCTCACTTTCTTGGTAAACTCTGAATTTTACCAACAGGTGCTACATATTTTCAGCTCAGTCATAAGTACTACTGTTTATGGCAAACAAGCAGTTTCTTATAAAAATTTTGGGTGCAATTATTTTTATGCAGCATTCTAGCCACAGATTATTTGTGAAAGAATGATCTTATATATTTCAGCCTGACCTTTGATTATGCAATTTTTTATAATACTGTATAACACACAGTTATGTAAATGCTGTCTTTTAGATCAAATGTACTTTGCATTTTGCATTTGCAAATACTCTTGTAGTCCTTTCCTGTTCTTGTCTCCATTAGAAGACACAAAACCATGTAGCTATTAAATTCTTTTGCTTGTTTCTTTTTCATAGTGGACTATGTATATGTTTTAAATCTGTAGAGGTTTTTTTTTAAGGTTTTTCAGGATTATTTATCAACCAGATTTGGATATTTGTTTTACTTCTGTATTTTTTAATAAAATCTCTGCTGAAATTTTCTTTTCTGCCTTAGCTCCTATCACTGTTCTTTCTTCCTTTTCAGTACCTGGGATGTTCTCTGGAGCATTCAGTACCTGAATGTTCTCTGGAGCATTCACTACTTAATCCAGTTTATTCCTCTGCTGTTTGTGAATCTGGTGAACTAACATAACAGTTCGAAATTAAGACATATTCTTGTCATTCTATCGGACAGTCTGTTGATTTTGGAACTCAACATGCATGACACTTGTGATTTGTGTATAACTAGTCATGGTTGGTTGAGAACAGGACAGATATATTTTCCTCAAGCTATGATGGCTCTCCTAAAACACAGCCACAAACAGCAAACATGACATTTCTTTTAAAGAAACACTGATGTGGGCTAGTTACCTTGTTCTCTTGATCCATATAATTTCAAATAAAGTTACAGAATAGAAAAGCTTCCTTTAAAAGCACCTGAAGAGGCTGGTTGAACTCTCAGAAGCACTTACTCTGGGGTTTGTACTCTGTCAAATAACTGGTGACTTGACTAATTTGAATTATAAAACCAGAAGAAAATGACTGCTGTTTAGCCTTGGTTGTTCTTTTGCCCCATGGGGAAAAATAATTTCATGGGTCTATAAATTATGAAAATTATATATGTATATTGTATAGATACAATACATTGTATTGTATCTATGTCTGCAGTGAAGTACTGAGAACCCATGTGTATTCTAAACAAGCTGAACCATGTACCTGATGTAGTACAAGCTTTCCTGAAACTTAAATTATGCCTCTGATAGTAAATGTAAATAGACCACACTTGGAGAAAGACTGCTTCCAGCATTCAGGCCAGCTACTGCAGAAATGGCTCAATTACTTATTAAGAAGAATAACCACCCGTGTGTGAATGATCCCCAAGGTTTGTGTGGTGAGAGAGAGAAGGTGGCAGCAGGAATAACCTCTCCTGCCATCGTTGCTGGGAGACTGTCTCTGGAGGAACCCAACTTCAAATTCCTTTAGTGTCAAAGCACTATGCAGTAACTCAGCAACTCTTTGCAATGCACTTCTGCAGACATTTTGAACCAAAAATGCTCTTCCAAATTGAAAGAAATTATGCCAGTTATTATGGTGTCTTAAATTTTATTTGTAATTCCCATCAAAATTTAGTGGAGTTTAATGGAATTTTTTCTTGGCTATTGCATAAATTATGATGTTGAGGCAATAAAGGTATTTTTCTCAGTTTTTCATTTTGGATGACAATAGGTATTTCCTTTGTGAGCACATTTAGAAGTTCCTAAGTATAACTGTGGGAGTGAACACCAAATGGCAAAATGTTGCAATGCTATACCTTAAGGCATTTCACTTTTTCTTTTGATTTGAATATAGTTTCTCAAATACCAGGGGAAAATCAGACAGAGACATCAGTTATGCCAATAATCCATTGTGCTTTATGGACCAACCTGACAACTCAAACTGTATTCTGGGTTTTCTTTATTATTATTTTTTTGGAGGTTGTTTAATTTCTTGACTTTTTTCTTTTTAAACACAGCACTACATTCTCCACAAATCTTCACTATTCAGTATTCACTTTTTACTATTGTTGACATAATTTTTATAAACTTAGGGTTTTGGAAAACCAGTTCTGGGACGTGAATGTATCTGAACAACTCCCTTGTCTTTGGGGGATTGTTGTTTCTTGCTTTTACAGGTGTAATATAATAGCTCATTGTTTCATTATCACCTTTATGGTGAGAAACTTAACCTGTAGTTTTGAATTTTGATTAAATTAATTTCAGGGAGGAAAAAATGTGGTAGAATAGGTTCTCACTGCCATTTTTTGATGTCCTGAGCAGATCTGTGTAGCATGAGGAATTTGAAACATACCACTTCCCATCTTTATTTATATTTATTCAAATAAATAAATAAATATGCGGTCATATTTTTTAAGGTAAACTGTTCTTTTTTCTTTCTAGAAGTCTTATTACAGTGTTGCTGAATTATTTTCATTGCCATTTCATAGCATATAATCACTCTTGATTTTTCTATTGAATACGCAGCTGGGATGTGACTATTTCCTGGGATATAGCTTTATGTAACCTGTTTACCTTGTAAGACTTGTAAGAATCAGAAATTCTATACTGATTGCCCCAAACAATTAATGAATATGTATGTTCACATTGGATCCAGGAACAGAGTGTTTTTGTCAGAGTACCCCCTCAGGGACTTTTGCACGCTTCGGGTGGATAATACAATTGAAGCTGTTTCTTTGTGAGAAAATAGGTTAATGACTTGCCAAAAGGCAGATGTTAATTGGAAAAAGTGCATACAAGTCCTTTCCTTTACAATGTATATGGGTTGCATCCAAGAACAGGTGCAATTTCAATTGACTCAGCTAGCAGAATGTGCTGAGTACACTCCTCACCAATTTCACCAAAAATTTTAAATCTTGCAGAAAAAAGAGTTTCTAAACTAATCAGTGAGTGACAAGCTGCACTTATTATCTGTTACAGAGCATATTTATAACTTAATATTGTACCTATAGTTAAACATCTTAATAATATGATAGTAAGATCTTTGATTGTTTATTGGTGTTGTCAAATTTTACTAATGAGCACCGAGGAACCTTATATTAGACAAAATGTGTTATCCCTTCCAAATTATTTCCTTTTAAGACAGTCAGGAGTGCTAGACAAGGTACCACCAGTGTATTTGTAGACACAACTTAAAGCAGAAAAACTGTCTTTTTCACTAACACATTTTCTGCCATAAAGCTACACAATCCGGCTAAGGTCTTTGCTTTGCCTCGCTTCATTTTCTCTCTGTTCAGAAACAAAAATTAATGAGACAGGTGGAAAAAACCCATGTGGGTATGTCAGGGTCAGAAGAGCTGCTGTTTGATAGTTTAATAGTTTTATTCAAGAATCCCTGGGAATTTCTAGGCTACTCATACAAGTCCACTGCAATAGGAACTTTGGTGTGGATCCATGTGCCTAGCCTAACCTTGTCCTTCAAAAGTCACTCACCTGAGGAGGGCTGAATGTAAAATTCCTCTCTTTAGGATGCAGCAATGATCTACCCCAGTGCAGGAATCCCCTGTTCAAGAATCCCCTGGGAGCATTAGCATTAGTGGGGGTACCAAGACTGCTGGTGACTGGGGTCATATGCTTTTCCCATGCCTGTAGCAAAGACCTGAGCATCAGAGTGCTCAGTGCACTTGCAGAAGCAGGAGTGGACTGAGGAGAAATACTGAGTCTCAATGCCATCTAAATATAGAATTCTGCAGCTCCAAGTTTTGTAAGGTTTGTAAGTCCCTTTATGGCCTGTGCCCTTACAGACGCAGCTAAAAGAGAGAGACAGCTTTTTTTCAGGGCTGCTGAAGAGGAAGCAGTTGCCAGAAGAGAAGACCACTCTTGGTTATCTTTTTCATCCATTTGTGCTTTTTACTGTAAAGAAATAGTATCTCTGTCTTGAGTTTTTTTCTTCCTCCTAATTCACAGAGGAAATCCCTGCTCCTTTGAGAGAGATAAAACCTTAGGACCCAGAGAAAGTAGCAAGAGCTGAGAGTCTCTGTGCTAAAGGGTGTCACTGAACCCTCTTCTGGCCACAGTGATGGAAGCCAAAGGCTTACAGTGTTTATTCCAACACCTGTATCAAATGTCAATTCTCTCAGAAGATTCAGAAAAAGATTCATAACATTCATAAGCAAAGCATATTTGTGTAAGTCTCCTGTTTATTGGGACTTCATAAACAAGTGTCAGAGAAACAGAAGTCTGGGAAGGTCAAAGCAGTAAAATCTTTTCTCTGATTTCTTCTAAGAAAGATTCAGGTGAGCCATATGCAAAGGGTCCTGCTGCTTTGTGCTACCTGCATCTTGCACATCTCAAATAGAAAAATTTAAGATGCAATGGACTTGGATGCTAAAAAGAACATGAGTACACTTGTCAAACATTTTTTTAATCATCCTTTAATTAATATTTTTGCCCTATGATACATGCTGGGACCACAAGACTCAAAATGTTTGCTAAAGCTTAAAAAAAGCAATTTAAAAAAGAAAGATTAGATGATTAATAATGGTTTCTATGTCCAAGTTCTGTACTGATTACTGGGGGTATTCTGTTAAACCTCAGTGATGCTACACATAGAATTTGAGGTTGTGAGCAAGAGAGGGCTTAGCCCTTAGTAAGACTTGAAAATTCATGTACTTCACAAAAACAGCTTTCACTTCTAAGAAAATTTTTTGAATGTAATAAGATGTGATTAACTTTTCAGTTAAGCAGGGAATCTAATCATGCAAAACATAGCAGATTATAATTGATTGTGTGTAACCATGCTAAGTAGTTTTGGTGTGCTGTGATGTCTCTCTACAGCTTCATTGCTGAAACACTGCGAGCTTTTGTGCAGCTTCTGCAATCTATTCAGTATAGACCTAGCCTATAAATAGCTGCATTATTGAAAGACTGAGAGGTTCATTAGAGAAGTTGTGAAAGTCTCATTCAAGCCAGGCTGATACAGTACCGCTCCAAGTTACCAAAGAGTTTCAGCATGTGGGTAACACTAGGCATGAAGCTGGGCTTTTGGCCACGCAGCACCATCGATACCCCCCCCAGTCATCCCCTCAATCGGCCTGGCTGCAGTCTGTCACAAAGTACACTGCACTTCTTACTGGCTCTGGGCACAGGACTGAAAGCACAGCATGTGGGACCTCATGGTCACACCAGTCTTGTCCCATACCAGAGCCCGGACGTAGCCAGGGCGTATGCTGGGGGCCAGGGCCACAGGACATCCTGCCTGATGTACCTACCTGCCAGTGCGGGCACAGCCAGGGAGAGTAGTCATCTTAAAACCACACGCAGGCATAAGTACTTTGCTGACTCAGTAGGAAGTCACTGGCTGAAATCAGTGGGACTTCTCACATGATTGAATTTACATGCTGGAAATGTCTTAATCTTATGCTCTGTGTTCACATAACTCGGGGGCAAAGAAAGAAAATTTGAATAGCAGCTGATGTCTGTTTTCTTTCAAAGGTACATGAAAAACAAATACAGCCATTATAAACTTCTGGTTAATTTAAATGGGTACTTTGCAATTTATTTCACAGCTATCTGAACCATGTCTGGCTCTGGTGCTCAGATAAATGAGGAGTATGCAGGACTAGGTCCCCAGTTTGTATGCAGACCTTATCCTACAGCCTTTTGGGTACTCCTTTGGAAGAGATGCTAGAACAAAAGAGGTTTTCAGGATCATTCAAACCCATAAAAGAAGAAATATCCCTCATGTTGTCTTTTTTTTTCATTTTATAAAGTAAAATGCTCTCAGCTGTTCAAGTATTCCAAGTTGTGTATATGTTTTCTACATTTCTCTTTCTCTACATACTTAACTTAGTAATTTCAAAGTGAGAGAGTTATGCCCTTGTTATGTAAGCTGAGTACTGCTGAGAAATTATCCATATTTTTCTGTTTAATGGATTCAGTAGGAACAAGGAGGAATTCAAAACTAACAGCCTGTAATATCTGAAAAATGCTATCCAGAATGAAGAGATGATGGATTCAATAAAATTGCTCTGTCTTCGCCCAAAATCT